TTCAGGAACAAATACTTTGGGAGAGAGGAGTATTTGAGTAGTTCCAGTACCAGCTTTGTTTCTATCATTTTTTTTAATTGAATAATGAGAGTCAATTTGAATTTATGTTTATCAAACAAAACAGTTCTGGTATTGCTCACTGCAAATAATTTTTAAGGCATTTAAATATATTTAAAAATATTCTCACACAGACATTAGAAATCACAACTGTACAGACTATGGTTCCACATTTATTCTGGTGGCTTCTCATGTTTTCCTTACCATCTCCCCCATTTTGTTCTTACCTCCACCAAAACAGAATGAAGTCACACAAACAGTGATAACTAATGTTCAAACAGTGCAACAACATCCTTTATAAGGGCTAAGTTAACACTTACTCAATAGTTACCTCGTTTGTAAATATTATGCCCCATTTTATTGAGGAAAAAGACAATGTATGAACAGGGAAAATTTACAGCTGGTCAATCTGTGGGGGAGCTGGGATTAGAACTACAATTTCTGGTTTTGTCAGGAAATCATGCTACCTCCAAGGCCCTAGACAGTTTCCATCAATACTTAAACTGGGTGAATTTGTGGTCAAGAGTATAGGGTTGGCAGCAGTAAAGTCCGATATCCTCTTTATCCACATATTGGGTATTGTAGCAGGGTAGTCACCCCGCTCCTGCCAGGAGGGGTTAAAAACAGCCCTGGAGAGGGCTGTGGCTGGGGAAAGGATGATTGGGGCATGGCCCCAGCTAAGGCTGCTTCCCCAATCAGGCCACAGCTGACCCTATAAAAGGGCTGCTAGCCAGAGCTCAAGAGTCTCTAGCTGTTGAGGGAGACGGGCCTGGCTGCTGCGAGCTGAGCAAGGTACCTGGAGTGTAGCAGGGCTGGGGGAAGGCGAGAGGAGCTGGGGAGCTCCAGCCTGGAAACTCCCCAGGCTGCAGGCCTTGATAAAGGCCGGAAAGGTACTGGGGTTGCAGAGGGGCAGCCCACAGGAGGCAAAGGCAGCAGGTCCAAACTCTCCATGCCGATGATGAATGGCTTGTACGCTGCAGTCAGTCCCAGTGAGCGGGGGCTAGATAGTGACCGTCAGCCATAGACTGAGGCGAGGTGGGGGATAGAGAGTTGGGGGTTCCCCGAGGAGGGGAGACCCCAAGTTGTGGGGGGTACTGCCAGGGGGCAGAACTCCTAGGCAAAGAGGCACCGGGGTCTGGGAGGGACATGGAGAACAGCGGCAAGCGGGGCATCGGCCTGCAGAGGGCGCTCCGGAGGCTGGAAAAGCTAGTTCCCTGAAAGGCCAGCAGGAAGCGCCGCAGCAGTGAGTCACACCCTGTCACAGGTATGCTGAAGAATTTGCAATGCAGCTTTCTCCATTCCTGCCACTAACCAGGTCAGCCCCAATTTGACAGAACCACTCTGGTTAGGTTTGAGACATAACTTGAGCTCCCAACACAGAGCCTTTTATTAACAACAAATAAATATTAACAATGTCAAATATCAATGGCCATTTGACTATGCGAACTCCTGCTGACTGGGAAGTGATCTGAGGCTGTCAATTCAATTTCAAGTAGAAATCTGAACTGGGACCCAGAAGTGGAAAGCTTTTTGCACTGAGCCATCTATCCTCTTTATATCTAAGACTGAAGGCAGGACAAGCAACCTCCTTTACAGCTACAATCAGTACCACATCCTAAGAGACAGTGTGACATACCAGTTAGGTGTCTATGATTAATAGTCTCTCTGGGTGACATACATACAGCTACTGAAGTGGTTGGGTTGAGGTCTGTTTATAGAGAGTGGAAGGCTATGGATGCCCTTTCCAATAGCAGGTGTGTGAGGTTTACCTGGCAATTATGGTATTTGCATAATGAATCCATGTGGTAGAGACAAGGGCATCATCTTTTCACACAGCCATTGTCCCATCGCCTATAGCAGAATTGATAGCATGGCAGTAGGCCAATCACACAGTGAAGAAACAAAAGCAAGATATAGTTAACATAGTATACTACAAATCAAGGCCACTAAACTTCAGGTTTCTTCTTTGGAATGGTTTCTAGTAAAGTCAATTTTCTATAATGAGGTTAATTAGTTGGCAGATGGCAAAAGCTACCATTGAAACTTGTACAAAATTGCAAAGAGCCTTTTAGAAAAAAGCCATTTGCCCAGCGAACAGAAGATTATCAGTTCCAAAGGGCAGGCTATTTTTTTTCCTAACTGAAGTTGAACATGTTATTAAAATAGACATGCCAAAATAAAGTGTACAAATTGAAGAAAGCTGCTATTACGATGTAACAGCATTGGAGTCTAAACCAAACATTTAGCTTATGAGGCTCAAGGACATGCACCCCTCAATAATGCAGCAGTGGCTAATTGATTAGTCTATTTTATGGTCTTCTAGATAGACTATCACTCTGGTATCTAAACGGTGAACTGAGAGCTGGAATCGGAAACATGGATTCTGACACTTCTCTACTGACTCAAACTACCTTCTCTCATATGCAAGGGGCCCTAAATGAAAAGAGTGACTAACTTCTATGGAGGTCAAATGGATTCCTTTGCATCATTGCTCTTATGTTCCAACAGTGTACGTTTCATCTGCTTTGCATCGCTGTACCAATATAGAGCAGCCCTAAGCCCAGTGGATCTTGCTCACAGGGTACGTCTACACTGCAATTAAACACCCACAGCTGGCCCGTGCCAACTCTCAGGGCTCGGGTTCAGGGACTGTTTAATTGTGGTGTAGATGTTCAGACTCAGGTTGCAGCCCAAGCTCTGGGACCCTGCCACCTCACAGGGTCCTACAACCCAGGTTCCAGCCCATGTCTGAACATCTACACGGCAATTCAACAGTCCCTTAGCCCAAGCCCTGCGACTCCAAGTCAGCTGGCATGGGCCAGCTCACAGGTTTTAATTGCAGTGTAGACATCCCCTCAGAGGTTCTCTGCTGTGTAGTGAGATCCTCAGGCACTACAGGGCCCCCTAACAGCTCCTATGCCCTGAGGCTGGTGACAGCTGTCACAGGTTAAAACAGCCTTCTTCACTGTGCTTAGCTGCTGCTAAGCAACCCCAGGATCACTGAAATGCCAAGGACACCTTGGCACCTCTTCATTTCCCTCCATCTGTGGTGACTGATTCTCTGCCACAGACAAGGATCTAGTCCTTAGAGCTGAGCACTACAGAAAGGCACTTCAAGATTGATGCAGCTGCTTTCCTGACTGACTAGCGCACACAAATCCTTATTTGGATACAAGGTCCTGAATAAAAGCTTTTTTTAAGTTAAGTCGGGGGAAGACTGCAATTAACTGAATGTACTATCATGTCAGCTAAGGAAAAATAAAACCTGCTATTACCAGACAAGGAAAGATTCCCAGATGGCAAAAGATACCATGTTGATTAGTCTTACCTAACTGTCCTGCAGCCATCTGTTGTACCCAAAAAAGTTGAGTTTGGTCAAGGCACTTGGTATACATGGAGGAAGATTTCCAAATGAAAAATGGAAAGCGAAGTGTCAACTCCCACTGATTTTTCAATGGGGGGCTGCCCTTCGTGCCTTTAAAAAAAACCTCTCCCTAATGAAGTCTCCAGCCATCAAGTTTGCTCATGACCTAAACTTTACTTTAAATTTAAAAAGTGGGAGTATAGGAGAAGAAAGGGATAAAAGGGGCTTTTGCAGCACTTTTTTTAAACTGAGTAATGTTTTTCATAACAAGTCAGTCAAGTCCCTTTTTCTAACGAGTCATTAGTGCAATTGCATTGTTATGAAATAACAATCATCAGAATCGTGAGCCATTGTTTCCTGGTTTGTGGTTACTTCAGGCAGTCACAAGTTTATAAGCAGAAATTGCTCAAGACCTCAACATAAAAAAAATCTCACTTTGTGCCTGTGCTGCTCCTGGGTACGTTTGTATCAACCTCTCACTCCTCACAGCAGCACCAACCACTAAGTATTTTAATCTCAACTAAAATTCCCACTGCATTCAGTTCAAATAGGTCTTCAAAATTTACATGGATTCTCACCTTTACACCATGGCCGACATCATCCAGCACAGTATAGTCGATAGGTTTTCGAATGTACCTTACAGGACGTTCCATGTTCGCCGGCGCTATAATTTTATGAGTTCTTGATGTGTTCTTATTGGTTGTCAAAATACCTATCTCTCTGCGAGCCACTTTCTCTTTATGGATGTCCACAGTCTAAATTTAAAACAGAAAAGGATGTTTTATTTAAAGACATGCCTAAATATTCAAGTCAAAATCAATTAATCTGAATTATTAAATTAATAACACTTGAAACGAACTACTTTATTAACCTCACTAAAATGAGGAAAAGTTTGCAAAAAAATTTAGAGTAATAAACAAGATCCTTGTTCTAAAAATAAAATAATTACACTCTGCGGAATAACAATGCAGTTCCAAGTAAGAATAGTAGTAAAGTGATCTATTATAAAATATTTGATTTTTCAAACACACCTTATAGATATTACTGGATTAACCACCCTCAACACCCTTATAATTGACATTAGTGATCAGTTATTCCATTTTTACAGATGAGAAACTAAGACAAAGATTAAGTGACTTGCCCCAAGCCACCAACACGCTCTCAAGCCACCCACTTACTACACCAGAAAGACAGTTTCCTTGCCACTAATGTTTTAGCTACCTTATGTGCCTGCTCCAAATTTTGTCTTTACCAAAGAAAATGGATCCAAAGCTTAACACTGTCTATTGTATGCCTTAAATAGGGCATCCATCTCTACTCAGAATGGAGATTTAGTTTGGTGGATCCAACCCCTGGAATTAACTTCCAAGGGTGGGGGGGAGGGGAGAAGGGAAAGGGTTACACCTGTACTGTGCTCTGCCAATTTAGAGGGCAAGGACCAAATAAGTAGAGGTAGTACAGACTAGGGGACCCTGACCCTGCAATTTGAAGGAGCAAACTAATTTTGATGGCATAAAACAAGCCTCTCTGCACATAAGTTGGGCATTGTTTAACTCCTAGCTGAGGGAACCAAATTAAAAGGCCAAGGATATAGACCAACAATCAGAACCCAGGAGAGGGAGAGTGAAAAAGAGCAAGAAGATCCTTGTCTGCAAGTACTTGTTTGGATCAGTCTCTGGAAACAGCCATCTGCCCCAATCAAAACCAATATTGTGCTGCATAGACTTTACTAAACAAAGTGGACACAAGCACCCAGATGAATCATAAAATTAGTTTGTATTCAAAAGCAATTTTTCACCATCTAATCATGCCCAACACATAAGCACCCAGGAGGTCAACAGATCTTAAAGAAAACACGGGTACATTTACACTGTAAAACAAAAAACACTTCCCCCACAGAAGTGGATGTCAGAGCCCGGGTCAGTTCACTCAGGATTGTGCTACAGGGCTAAAGATAGCAGTGTAGACATTCCTGCTTGGGCTGAAGCTTGAGCACTGAAACCCTCCCACCATTGCCAAGTTTCAGAGCGCACACCAAGGTTGGTTTTTTTGTTTTGTTTTTTTTAATATTGCAGACTTACCTTAACTCTTTGCTGACTAAGCATACAGAGGTGATTTTCAAATGCTTGCAACAGAAGAACGGATTTAGTCAATTGAATTCTAGTATGTGCTTAAATCATCTTGAGCTCTTTGGAGTTCTAGTAGAAGGAATAAAAACCTTTCACAGCAGTTTCTATACCCTATTAAAAATCACAAACTAGTGGAGCATGAACTTAAAAGAAGCAAAGTCTAGTGGGCTTGTTTTCACAGCCTCAGACTGAATAATAGATTGTCTTTTGCAAGAGACAGTTACCTTTTCCGTAACTGGCATTCTTCAAGATGTGTTGCTCATGTCCATTCCACAATAGGTGTGTGCGCTCGCCACACGCACCGGTGCCGGAAGTTTTTCCCTTAGCAATACCCATAGGGAAGCACCCCCAGCGACTGCTGGAGCGGCGCTGCTATGGCATGTTATAAGGGGCGCTGCGCACTCCCCCCACCCTCAGTTCCTTCTTGCCAGACAACTCTGACAGAGGGGAAGGAGGGCGGGATGTGGAATGGACATGAGCAACACATCTCGAAGCACACCAGTTATGGAAAAGGTAACTGAGTGATTGCTCATGTGCATTCCACAATAGGTGACTCCAAACTATATCTGCTGGAGGTGGGTAGGAGTTCAGACACTCACGACGGAGCACTGCCTTGCCAAACCCAGCGTCCTCCCTAGTTTGGGAGACGATCGCATAATACGAGGTGAATATGTGGACCAATGACCACGTGGCAGCCCTACAAATGTCCTGAATAGGAACATGAGCTTGAAAGACTTGCGCCCTGGTCGAGTGCACCCTCACAATCTGCGGCGGGGGAACCCCCGTCAGGTCATAACAAGTACAGATACATGAAGTGATCCAGTTGGAGAGCCACTGAGTGGAAATGGCCGACCTTTCATGCGCATGGCAGTAGCGATGAACAGTTGCGAAGACTTACTGAACAGTTTTGTACGTTCCAGGTAAAAGGCCAGAGCCTGTCTCACATCTAGCATGTGAAGGCGGTGCTCCTCACTGGACGCGTGGGGCTTGGGACAGAGCACCAGCAGGAAAATGTCCTGGCCCATATGGTAGGCGGAGACCACCTTAGGGAGGAAAGAAGGGTGTGGGCAGAGCTGGGCCTTATCCTTATGGAATACCGTGTTCAGAGGTCAGGGTCCGGAGCTCCGAGACCCTTCTAGCAGATGTGATCACCACAAGGCTACTTTCCATGAGAGGTGGGACCAGGAGCATGTAGCAAGTGGCTCAAATGGAGGCCCTGTTAGCCTGGCCAGCATGACGTTGAGGTCCCACTGAGGAACTGGGGGTCTAACATAAGGAAAGAGGTGATCCAAGCCCTTAAGGAATCGACCGGTCATGGCATGAGAGAATCTAGTGTGGCCCTGTACTGGCAGGTGGAAGGCCGACATGACTGCCAGATGCATCTTGACAGACGAGGGCGCTAGGCCCCGGGCTCTAAAATGAAGGAGGTAATCCAGTATAAACTGGATCGGAGCAGCCACTGGCAAGACGCCCCGATCAGCGGCCCACCGAGAAAACCAAGACCATTTTGCCAGGTAGGCTTGACACGTGGAGGGCCTCTGGTTCTCCAAGAGGATGCGCTGGACTCCCTCCCAGCAAGTCCTCTCCTCTTGGCCTAACCATTGAGCAGCCACGCCGTGAGGTGGAGGGCTGCTAGTTGGGGGTGGAGGAGGAGACCTTGGTCCTGAGAGAAAAGGTCCGGCGGGTTGACCATGGCCATGGGGGGGGGGGTGTGTGACTGCCAAGCTCATGAGAGTCTCAGTGCAGTCTGGGCCACGCCAGGGCGATGGCAAGGACGCCAGTTCTGTCCATCTTGATCTTTTCCAAGACCTTGCCAATCAGTGGAATAGGGGGAAAGGCATACAAAAGCTGATCCAACCAGAACACAAGGCAGGCATCTGAGATCACGCCCAGCCCTCCCCTGGAGCTGGAACGAGGACACCTGCAGTTCTGGCTTGTGGCAAAGGGGTCCACTTGGGGGGTGCCCCACATTTGGAAAATCCTGTGCACCACCTCCGGGTGCAGCGACCATTCGTGCTGAGAGGAGAAGTCCTGGCTCAGCCGATCTGCCCAAGAGTTTCAGACGCCCGGTAAGTGGTGGGCTTTGTGGATGTGGTGCTGTTAACTAGCAGCCCCAGTGTGGTGCATGTGGACAGGAGGAGTGTTACATAGTTCTGTACCTGTGATCTGGAGCTACCTTTGACCAGCCAGTCATCGAGGGAGGGAAAAATCTGGATGCCAGAGGTAGGCCGCAACCACAGACATACACTTTGTGAAGACTCTGGGTGCCATCAAGAGGCCAAACGAGAGGCCAGTGAACTGGTAGTGTTCCTGTCCTACCGTGAAGCGGAGGAAACGCCTGTGGCCCTCGAATATGTGAATGTGGAAGTATGAGACTTAAAAGATCCGCAAATTTTGTAGCGGTCGCTGAGGTGGATTCCCCCAGACAGCGTGCGGATCACTCATGGGCATAGTTCATTGGGGGAAGGAGACCAAAGCCCTGAGGTAAGTGAGGAAATGGGATACCGGGAGGAAGCGCGAGCAGGAGAGCG